GACACAATTCAATCCATAACAACCTCCTACGTTATAGTATACTACCCAGTGGCCACATTAATGGACTGCGGAGTGTAGAGAAGAGCATGTGTTGTGAAGACAGGCAGGCAGATCTTGGGCAAGTCACAGGCTCTGTTTCTTCCTCTTTCAAGGGTGGGTGAGTCCCTTCCTTGGAGTAATCAATGAGTTATGAATGTAAAATTCCTGCAACAGTGTCAACCACATAATAACACTGTTTGGCTCTACACTCAGTTCCCAAGCCACTTCTGTGTATTTGTACTGTGCTAGGTGGAGCCTGTCACCATGCGCCCAGGATCCAGAGTTCGGTCTGGTGCTCCTGCCTCTGGTCAGCAGCTTGCAGGGGGAGCCGAGCCAGGCGGACTTGTCATCTGACCAGGCATAATCCCAGCCCCACTGCCAACCCAGTTCTCTCCTCCCCTGCATGATGCTTGCCTTTGTGTCTGATTCCCCTATTATCCACTGGCCTCCAACCAGAAGGGCAGGACAAAATATGTGTGTGAACCTCTGTCTATGAGAATGAAAGCATGCATGAGTAATGTGTGTATGTGGGAATATGTATGTGCTTGTGTATGAAAGCCTAAACATGCTTATCGTGTGCATGCATATTATATGTGTGAGCTTATGAGTATGGGAGCTAGTGTCTATTTCTGTATGTGTTTTAAGTAGCTGTGTGTGTGTGCTGGTATGTGTTTTTTCTGTGTGCTTTTGCATTCATGGGTATATGTGGGCATGTCTTGGTATATCTGTCTATGTATAGAAGAGGGGGCAAGAAAGGGAGGGGTGTGTGTGTGTTTTGGTTTCAAGATCAATATTTAGCAAGCACTAATCAAGATTCTATTTTTACCTTTCTTGGGGAAGGGGATCTTTGGTCATGCCCCTTCCCTATATTCTCTTATTGATTACTCCTGGTATACCCACAAGCCACTCCTCGGAAGGAAGGTTGGGCAATCCTACTTCCGTAGTGATAACTGCCTCGGAAACCCAAGGATGGGTCGCTAGGAGTCGGGGCCGACTCGATGGCAAATAACAACAACAACAACATCCCAACCACAACCAATATGCCACATCCTCTAAGAAACTTTTCTGTATTTCTAAATGGAAATTAATCTCTCCCTCCACATTTTCCCACTGCCCTTTATTTATTCATTGATTACAGCCCTACTGATCTATCTTTCTCCCTCCCTCTTCTTAAAGGGATTAAGAATCGCTTTCAGAAATATATACAACCGTATAAATTGAACTGCCCACACAGCTTTATTACTTCTCACTGGTAGGCATCAGCCTAGGTACCAGAACTTGTGATTTATGAGTCTGTTTCTTCTATCAGACTGTTTCCTCTGTACCTGGAGCCTAGCAGGGAGAACACACGTAAGTGCTAGTCCATGCTAGTTACATTGACTTCAATTAAAAAAAAGATCCTGTGGTGTGATGGGAAGAGCTTGGGTCTTAGAGTTAGACAGATCTAAGTTATGACTCTGCCAACTGCGTAGCCTTGGAGGAAAACCTTTCACTTCTCCTGAGCCTCACTTTCCTCATCTATACGATGGGACCGTAACCACTATCTCATTTAATTGGGTTGAGGACTGCTAACCAGGCTGGCGGTTAAAACCCACCAGCCACTCCTAGGAAGGAAGATTGGGCAGTCTACTTCTGTAGACATACCACCTTGGAAACCCAAGGAGGGGTTGCTATGAGTTGGAATTGACTTGACAACAGTGAGTTTGGGTGTTTTTTTTTTTTTAAGGGTTGAAGAGGATGTTTTTACAGAGCCTATGCTCAATCTATGTGATTCATATTTTATTTTTACTAATGCTAGGCTTGAACCATATTGGCTGAAGAAATAGAGAGGAAACCTTTTCCATAACTTTCCCATCAGGTGACATGGTCTGAGAGTTGTTCTACCAGATATTGCCAAGTGATAGCTGAAGAGAAAAGTACACCCTGAGCTGTACTGTATCAGATTCTCCAGCAGTAGGTAGGAAAGAAAAGCTGAAGCTTGTTTGCCTGGAGAATCACAGAACAGGACCAGAGGACTTTGGCAAGGTGATCTGGGCCAGCTCGCTGCCTCAGGCAGGGGTCACCTGGGACCATTAGCATTCTGTTGTTAGGTGCCATCAAGTCATTTCAGACTTGTAGAGACCCCATGCACAGCAGCCAGATCCTGCGCCAGCTCCACAATCCTTGCTATACTTGAGCCCATTGTTGCAGCCACTATGTCAATTCATCTCATTGAAGGTCTTCCACTCCTTCGACGACCCTCCACCTTACCAAGCATGATATCCTTCTCCAGGGAATGGTCCCCTCTGACAACATGACCAAAGTAGGTGAGACGAATTCTGACCATCTTTGCTTCCAAGGAGCATCTCGGCTGCACTTCCTCTAGGAAGCATTCTAAGATATGCTAATTCACCTGTAATATGTATAGAAAGTGTAATATGTATAGAAAGTGTTTCATTTTTTGGAAAGATAATCAAAAGTGAATCCGTGTTGATTCATTCAACATTTAATTCATTTTGTTGCTCTGCCTTTACTTGTAAGAATCACCAACATAAGATGATTCTTTATTTCTTAGAAATAATATTTTACTTGTGTTTAAAAATTGGAAACACTTTTAAATATCTAACATCAGAGAAAGGCATTACTATACCTTTAATAATCATATAAAGTCATTGTAATGGTGGCTATGAAAACAATATAGGAAATATTAATAGATAATTGAGCACTTACTATGTATCAGATCCTATACTAAGAGGTACACATGAATTTCATTTAATCCTAACAACAGCCCCAGTAGGTAGACACTTAGTATCCCCATTTTACAGGAAGGAAACTAGGGCATAGAGAGGATAAGCAAATCGCCCAAGGACATTTAGTAAATGATCCAGCCAGAAATCAAGGCTGGCTGGCTTCAGCTGTACCCTTAAAACTACATTATAAAGGGAAAATGTTTATGATACAATGTTAAGCAGGAAGGGAAAAATAAAAATTATAGCTTTACCCAAAACACAATAAAATATTATTACTGAAAACTTATCTCTGTGAGAACAGTGTAACAGAATGTTGACTGGCACTCTCTCTGTAGCTCTAGAACTGCAGCTAAAAGAGAGGTGTCAATCTACCCATGACATCTGGGGCCACAGGGCTTAATGAGAGGCCACAACAGCAAGGGTCAGAAAGGATGTTGTTGGACCCTTGAGCAGCCTGAACCTTTTCCTGCAGGCAACAAAGATGCTGTAAAAGGCCCAGTCTGACTCTTCTCTTATATACATAGACAGATATACCAAGACACACCCATATATACCCACGAATGCAAAAGCACACAGAAAAAACACATACCAGCACACACACACACAGCTACTTAAAACACATAGAGATAGACACTAGCTCCCATACTCATAAGCTCACACATATAATATGCATGCACACAATAGCATGTTTAGGCTTTCATACACAAGCACATACATATTCCCACATACACACATTACTCATGCATGCTTTCATTCTCATAGACAGAGGTTCACACACATATTTTGTCCTGCCCTTCTGGTTGGAGGCCAGTGGATAATAGGGGAATCAGACACAAAGGCAAGCATCATGCAGGGGAGGAGAGAACTGGGTTGGCAGTGGGGCTGGGATTATGCCTGGTCAGATGACAAGTCCGCCTGGCTCGGCTCCCCCTGCAAGCTGCTGACCAGAGGCAGGAGCACCAGACCGAACTCTGGATCCTGGGCGCATGGCGACAGGCTGCGCGACCGAATTCCTGATCATCCAGGGCTTCATGTCACCCAGGGTCGTGTCTTGCTATCAGCCCCACCTCAATCCCTGGCACAGACATGCGGCTGAGGGACAGAGCAGGGCTGTTGCCTGCAGCTACTTCCTAACTCCAAACTGGTCCTCACAAAGTAACCCGAGAGTAGTTAATATTAAAGAAGGTTTACTGCAGGCCAGGCACTGGCCTAAGCCATTTACGTAGTTACCTAATTGTCACCACAGCTCTGTGAGGGGAGGGGGATGTCCTATCATCACCATTTTACAGGGGAAAAAAACTGTGTTCAGGACACAAGACCGTTCAGCAGGTGACTCGAGCTGAGGTTCAACCTCGTCAGACCCTATTCTCCCGGAAAGGTTTAGGGTGTGTGAATCTGTCTCCCCCACGCAGCAAGCTTGCACCTTCAGCCCCTGTCTGGTCTCCAGACCCGTCGTCCAGCCTGGCCCAGCGCCGGGCGCACAGCAGGTGCCTGGTGAGAGCGCTGGGGAGGCCCCTGACAAGGGCCTCAGTTTCCCCATCTTTGAAATGAGAATGGCAGGGCGGACCTCGCACGACCGAAACCTGGTTCTCTCGGGCAGCTCTCCATCCACCCTGCAACCGCCCTCGCCCATAAAGGGGCTCCAGCCCAGTCCCCGCCCAAGCCGGGGTGAGGCGCCGGCGCCCCATTGTTCAGGAGGGAGGGGAAGCTCCCGAGAGCAGATTCCCCGCCCCGGGTCGCGCTCGCCGCCCAGTGGAGCAGATAACTTGGCCTGGCGTCTGCCGCGCGAAGCGCGTCCTTTGTGTGCTCCGCGGAGCCGGGTGCCCGCGGCCCGCGCCCGAATCCTCCCGCAGACAAAGCCAAGGCTGCCGCGAGCCCGGCAGACTGGAGAGGGTCTTGCACCACCCTCTTCCCGCCTTACGCACCGCCCCCTTTTTTTGGCGTCCTCTGATTGGTCCTTGGGGCTACAAAGAGGCCGGGAAGCGGGTGGATCACGTGGGCTAGCGTGACCTCCAATTGGTCGGGAAAGGCTGTCAATCGGGGGGGGGCGGGCTGTCCTCTCACTGCCCGGTCGTTCCCTCTGTGCTGGGGCCCGCCCGCGGGGCCGGCCGCCTGTCAGAGGGAGGTGGCGATGGTGCGCCGGGTGGCGGTGGCGGCTGCGGCGGCTTCCTCTGTCACAGCGCAGGAAGAAGATGACTGATCAACCGACTGACTGACTGACTGACTGAATGAATGAATGGCGGAGCCACGCGCGCCATGAGGAACCTGCCGAGCCTGGGCGGCCTCGCCCTGTTGTGCTGCGCCGCTGCCGCCGCCGCCGCCGCCGCGGTCTCGGCTTCGGCGGGGAATGTCACCGGTGGCGAAGGCGCCGCGGGGCAGGTGGATGCGTCGACGGGCCCAGGGTTATGGAGCGAGCACAGTCACATCTTCTCTAAGGCCACGGCTTCCACGGCCCAGGCCCCGAGGACCGGATCCCCGCGCACTACCGTCCACAGATCCCTGGCTACGACCTCTTCAGCCCGGTCTCCAGAGACCACCCCTCGGGCGACGGCCGAATCTGCTCCGACCACCTTCCAGGAGCCTCTTGGCCCGTCGCCGACCACCCTGGAGGAGGTGGAACCCAGTCCGACCAACCCTCGGACGACTCCGAGACCCGTGCCGACCACCCTCTGGGCGACCACTGGCCCGGCGCCGACCACCCCTGTAGCGACTACTGTTCCGGCGCCCACCACGACCCCGACCCTCTTTCTCCGCGACAGCAGCAGCGTCCCGCCCACCCCACCTGCCACCGAGGTCCCTTCTCCGCCCCCAGGTAAGTCCCAGCGCTTCGCGCTGGTAGGACGCACCCCAGCGACGCCCATCCTTCCCCAGTCCCGGGCATCTGGGGCTGGGCTTTTGGCCGCAATTTACGGTTTCTTGCCCCCAAAGGTTCCCTAAATTTCCCCTCCTGGGGGGAGGTCCGAGCTCCAGCTCGCCTTCCTCCCCTCCCCCCTCAACCTGGCAAGTCTTTTGTCCCCCCCGGGGCTGTGCTTTCTCGGGAGGGGGGCGGCCGCTGTGTGGAAGGCATAGCATCTTCTTCCAAACAGACTTCCTGGCCTTTGTCGGAGACCAAGGATGGGCGCAAACTTTTGCGCAAGTTTGAAAGCCAACACAGTACCTCCTTCAACCAATGGGTCGGAGACTGAGTATGAGGGATTCCTCGCAAAGCTCCAATTTCCTTGAGCTTTTCTCCTTGTTTGTGTAAATATCAGCTGTGCAAGTGGCAGGTGGAGGAGATATTGAGGGGAGTTTGTTTACAAACATTAGTACGGACCACTTGAACCTAAAAAACAAAAGGAGAGCGACATTGTAGTCAATGTTTTCCCTGCAAATATGTGGATTCTGTACGCCATTTGGGACAGGTGTGTATCTAGGTTGAGTCCTTTTATAAATTAGCTTAAATCCCTTTCTTGCACCATTTTTCCCCCTTCCTCGATCGCAAGGTCAGTATGTTTGGACAGATAAACAATTTAAGCAGAGATGCCCGTCCCTCCCCTCCCCCCTTAAGCTGGAATGTTCGGTTTTGCAGATGCTGATAAGTAACAGTTTCTGCCTGGATCCAAGTACAAAATAAGGCTCATTTTCCTGCTGGTTGTCTCTAAGCAGTGTTGGAGACAACTCTTATTCTTTGCCCCTTTGATCTTTTAAAGTGGTCCTGGAACGAAGCAAATAAAATCTACCTTGTCAAAACATTAGGCAAGAGTTTCTGAATGTCTTTGCTTTGAGTTGGAGTGGAGACTTGTCCAAATCATTTTGTCTAACTGTATTTATAGTAATGGGTCTCTGACCTAATTCTTAGGCTCGGTGATTATTGTACTGTCAGGCATGGACTTTGGACTATGCTTGAGTTGGTAGAGAGTATTCATTTCCACGTGGTTATGAGCAGTCTTGAGTCTTGGGTTAGAGTTTGGCACTGACATAAGTAGGAATGCAGGTTATTCACCCACAAAAAGTAAATTTTAAGAAGTATGTTTACTAGCTGGGTTTTACCTGTAGCCTTTTTTGGCTCTGGTAGCATAGTGGCTAAAGCACTTGACTGCTAACCAGAAGGCTGGCGGTTCAAACGCACCAGCCACTCCTCGGAAGGAAGGTTGGGCAATCCTACTTCCGTAGTGATACTGCCTCGGAAACCCAAGGAAGGGTCGCTATGAGTCGGGCCGACTCGACGGCACATAACAACAACAACAACAACATAGGAAGAGATTGGCATGTTAATTGAGAGACAGAAAGCATAGTGGTCAAGAATATGAACTCTGGAGTCTGTAGTTAGCTCTGCCTCTTATTTGTGTAATCTTGGCTAGGTGGCTTATGCTGTCTGGCCTCTGTTTCTTCAGCTGTAAACTATAATAACAGTGGTACTCACCTCATAGGGTTGTTGTTGGATACAAAGCATTTTAGAAACATGCTTGTGGTGGCTTACGTGCTTTTAGTACAATATAATAGAAAAAGCAGAAATTAGATTTTCTGGAGTTTCAAACACACAGTAGCATTAAAGAAGAAGCAAGATCACTTATTTTGAATGGTTGGTAAGTCTGTAATTGGTGTTATTTGACTTTTATTATTTTGGTATTGCTATTTTTAAGTCATAAAAGTAATCCTTACATTGAATTGTATCCCCCCCTAAAATATGTGTAATAAATCTGAATCTCTGTGCCTGTGGTTATAATCTCAAAAAAAAAAAAAAGTAATCCTTACAAAAATACAAACAATCAGAAATATACAAAGGAAAAAGTAAAACACTCCTTCATTGCCTCCTAGTTACAGTCAGTTCCTAAAGGTTACTGCTGTGAAGAGTTTGTCTGCTCTCTTTTCAGACATTTTTCTGGGCATATATAAACATACACATACACACACACAGGAATTTTTAAAAATAGTTTTTTTTAAGTCAAAATGGAATAATTGTGTTTTGTGTCTTGCTGTATCCACTTAACTATGCATCATGAGGTTTTCTTTTCAAGTCAGAACCTAAAGTCTGCCTTATTTTTTTAACAGCTGCATTTTCTGTTGTAAGAATATATCATAATTTAATGCCTTATGTATAGACGCTTAGATTGTTTCTGGGCTTCAAGTCTAAAAAAGTACAGAGAATAATGTATTCTTTTTAAATCCATCAAGTATATATTATATTCTCTAATACTGCTACTGGCGTATCTTAGAATCCAAATCAATTTCACCTGAATTAAAGCTGGACTGGTTAATATTTGCCTTCTGAACTACTATGGAAGGATTTTAGTAATTTCCATGGACTCACATGTACTACTTATGGTAGTCTTCAGGTGACAAAAGTTTTAGATCTTCTACTTCAGTAACTCTTCTGTGTTTTAAATTTTCTCTGGTTTATACTTTTTCATGAATTTGCTTTGGATTGCCTATGTTGAGTCCTCAGCAGCTGAACTGACTGTGTGGGCCTGTTGATAGGGATTTCAGCTTAAGTGATAAAATCAAGTGTGGACTTTATCTGAGTATGAGTGCCAGAGGTAGTCTACTTCAAACAGTAAACACATGTCTTTGACAGAAGAGAATCTCAAATTCTTATTGAATTTGAGAGAGCTGGTTTGACTTGCAAAGTTAGATTATCTGCATTTCAGAAGATGGTTTTACAGGGTTTGTTTATTCCAATGTTCTTGTAAGGACCAAACGTCACTGACAGATACTTAAATATTATTTGATGGGCTGGTCTTATAGCTGCTTTTCGATTTAGTAAAAATTTCTTTCATGTAAGTCTAGCTGGGAGCTCTTTTCTGACCCTCAATTAGGGCCCTCTTTTGTTTACAGGGACACTGATCTGCAAACTGAAACTAATTGCCCAGCAAGCAGGCACTTTCCTCCCACAGACCTGGCAAAGTATTTGGCTGATTGGTTGGCTGCACCCGGGATTTAAGAGTGGTGAAGGGAGAGGCTGTGATATTAGAGGCTTGTAATAATAATGGTCAGCAGGAAGACACTGAAGTGATGACAGTATTTGATTTTTAAAATTACAGACCTTTACAGATAGACAAGCCCTGGTGGCTCAATGGTTAAGCACTTGGTTGCTAACCAAAAGGTCAATGGTTTGAACTCACAAGTGGCTGTGCAGGAGAAAAGACCTGGCAGTCTGTTCTCATAAAGATTACAGCCTAGGAAACTCTATGGGGGCAGTTCTTCTCTGTCGCTGTGAGTCAGAATCAACCTGATGAGGTACGGCAATAACAACAGGCTGGACAGGACTTCAGAAGCTACTGCCTTCTAATGTAGTTCTGTATTTTCAGAAACACTTCGATAGGCTTAGATAAAATATTTCTCTGTGTAGTTAACACTGACTGGTTCTGGTTCTGCCCTTTGGGGCTGTGCAGAGCAAGTCTGCCCTCTCTGTGCCATGACTGCTCTTCAGGGGTTTGGGGAGAGTGATCATGTTCCCTTGGAGTTTGGACTAAATAACTTCAGCTCCCTTGACTGTTCTTTATAAGACACGGTTTCAGATTCCCTCACTATCGTGGTCACCCTTCTCCTGGACTTTTTCAGATCTTTCTGTTTCCCCTGAAGCGTGGAACCCAGAGCACAAAGTAATAGTCCAGGGGAGCTATAGAGCATAGAAGGGGCAGTTACCAAGTCCTTTCTGGGTGCTCTACGACTGCTGATGTAGTCCCGCGTCATGGTAGATTCTTTTTTGGCAGCCTCATTAGGCTTTTGAGTCTTTGAGTTCATTAAGATAAGCTAAGTCTTTAACTTATTTACTTATTTTTGTCTTTTTTTCTCATGTGCTCATGTACTCTAATTTTTTTTTTCTCATGAGTTTTCCTGCATTTTAAATTTGGAAATTAATGTTATTTTCTTAAGTACACGTTATATACACATTTTCCAAATTTGTAAGGTAGAGCACGTTAGATTCAAGTCATCCCTTTAGATCTCAAGTCTGTCACTTAGTGTACCCCACCCAGTTTATTCATATACACCTTCAGGGTGTTCCTGTAGACAGAAGTTAGAGTCTAAGACAAGTTAGGGCAGGTTGTTCTTACCTCATGGGGGAGAATAAATTTATAGGTGATGGAACAATTTAGAAGGAAATGGGTAATAGTCTCGTTCTCAAGGGTCTCATCCAGCACTGAAGTCCTGTGATGATTTGGTATGCATGATCCAGGGCACATTAATGCCCTAAAAGAGATTTAATCATTTATTTTTGATCTAAAGTATGAGAGCGGTCTTTGTTTCAGCAAGCCCTAAAATCCAGAGTTTGAAAACTCTACTATGACATGTAAATAAAATATTATACAAATAGATTTTATTTGAAAGGAGCTTTCTAAGTATGTAGGGGCCTCCTGCCTATACTGGGAAATACCTTTTTCATCCTCAAATTCCCTACTGCTAGATTCAGGGTCTTCTTTGCTTGTGGCTATTTAAAAAGATGTTCTTCATTTTGAGGAGTTGCTGGGTGCTACAGATGGTTAATGCAATTGACTGCTAACTGGAATTTACCACTGGAGTGAGTCTACCTAGAAGTGACTTGGAGTCTACCTAGAGGTGGTGATCTACTTCCAAAAAAACAGCCATGGAAGACCCTCTGAGCACAGTTCTGCTCTGACGCACATGGGGTTGCCATGAATTGCAATCAACTTGACAGCACTTGGGTTTATGTTTTATTCATTTTGAGGAAATAGAAATTATTTAGGTTCTGATGGAAATGTAGATCCACAAACTTTTACCCAAAACCGTGGGCCTGGAAGTGTTTTAAAATTTAGAATTCTAAAATAAATAAACAAACAATAAAATAAGATTTAGAATCTCCTGAGTTTACAG